TAATACACTTGTGCCTCCTTTTTTTTAATTCTCGAAGCAGTTCTGACATGCACTTTTTGGTATGTCCTTGAACACTCTCAGCGATTCGGTTTTCATCTCCTCAATCGTCGCAAAACACCTTCCATTCATGGCTCCTTCAATCTTGGGAACAGGAAAAAGTCGCAACGGGGCAAATCTGTTGAAAACGGTGGCTGAGGCATTATTACGGTGTTGTTTTTGGCCAAAATATTACGAACAAGCAATGACGAATGAGCAGGTGCATTATCGTGATGCAAAAGCCATTAATTGTTTTTTCACAATACCGGACGTTTTCTTCGTTTTGCTTCTCGCAAGCGGCGCATAACTCAAAGATTATTGACCGTACGACCATGTGTTAAGAACTCTTGATGCACTACGCCACGGTAATCGAAGAAAACAGTGAGCAAAACCTTGACAGTTGATCGAACTTGGCGTGCTTTCTTTGGTCTTAGCCCTCCTGGGCTCTTGCAATAGGACGAGTGGACTTTGGTTTCGATGTCATAACCATATACACATGGTTGGTCACCTCAATATTTTCATCGGTAGTTGATGTGCTGGGGCGTTCAGGGCGAACGTCATTATTCACATCTTCTCGACCTTCTGTGAAAAGCTTGTACCACTTGTTAACATTTTTCTGACTCAGAGTACAATCACCGTATGCCACTTTGATTCATTTTTGTTTTCGATAACAGAAAATCGTCGAACACGCTAAACACTTCAAACTTATACACTTCCATATTGTCACTTTTTCCCTTCTTTATAATGGTGTTTTAATATTTGCTATCCGATGTTTCGTCTTCCGGCTACCATCATCAACTTTATTTTATATTATGGGCGCTACATTGGATTCTTTCTGTTTTGAATAGAACCAGAATTTACCTTTTCAATGATGTATCATAAGATCATTCTTTTTCGAAAAATTGAAGATACTGCTTTTGACTTTGATATTTCTAAATTTGACTTTCAATTTGTTAAACTCATTGATACTGTAAAAGACATTAAATTTTTGGCGAAAAATGACTTTCACGAATGAAAATAAAAAGAGATATGATACAAATTTATTACAAATACAATAGAAACAGTGTTTGGACATCGGAAATGTATTTAAACTTGTATCTCGAAAGACGACAACCACATCGAACTATGTTCAAGTTATTGAATCAAAATCTCACCGATTTGGTTCATTTGAAAAGCTGAGAAAAAAATACAGAGACAGAATGAACCAGGAAATTTTGATAAATGAGGTATGTATGAGGTAAAGTTAGACATTGTGTCTTTTTCAATAAAAATTAATAATTCACAGATAAACATGAACCCATAGAAATCTATACGTCAAATTTCCTCCGAAATGAGTATTTGTCATACAAGTGCTTGGAGACATCTCGAAAAAAGCGGTTTTAAATGTTACAAAATACCGTGTTAGGAATCTCACGTTAAAAGGTAAGACCTCGTTAGTCCTTAGCTCGCACAAGTTTCTCAACTTCTGAGAGTTGTCGTTCGTATGGGGGCGGTACCTGATTAACGGAAAAACAGATTTAAAACAGATTTTTAAACACATACCTTAAAAATTGCATCCAGGTGATCCCGAAATAACGAACACATTTGGAGCATAAATAACGCCAGGCAGTACCGAGAAATTTGACCTCAACTGCGATTTAGTATTAACGTGTGGGCAGGAATTTACAAAGATAGAATTTTGGGTCTCATTTATTTCACGGAATTCTGAATGGAGAAACCTATCACCAGTTTTTGAATGATCTATCTTTGGCTAACTATAACATCTAGTTTCAACATAATGGTGATCCACCGCACACTACCAGACGAGTATCTAATTACCTGACTGAAAGGTTTGGTGATAAATGGGTAGGGAATAATGAGCCGGTGAAGTGGCCAGCAAGGTCTCCAGACTTAACTGTTATGGTTACATTCTTATGGAGTACACTGAAAAATAGAGTTTATGGTCAGAGGGAATATCAAAATATTGAGGACCTTCAACACAGCATTGTTAGAGAGTTCGGAAGATTGAGGAGGAGAGAAATTAATTGTGCACTGAATAATATTCGAAGAAGGACCCATAAAAAAAGTTGATGATGGTGGCCGGAAAACGAAACGTCGGATATCAAATCTGAAAACACCATTATGTCACAGGGAAAAAGTGGCAATGTGGAAGTGCAATTTATTTTCGAACCCTTCGAAAAATAAAGACAGAAAAAATAAAAACCATTTTCCGCAATTTCTGTTTTTTCCGGATATCTCTGGATATACTCGGAATTTCAGAACTTTCTCAACGGCATATTGTTAGTCAGGTAAATGCGCAACTTTGTCACAATTTAACCATCTTCCCATCTCTCATACTTTCCGAGATCCCAATGGTAAGAATCGACTTCGAAACGAAATAGCTCCATTAAATAAAGTTATGTCAGTTATTCGCGAAGATATTAGAAGAACTAAATTATAAAAGATATTACATATAGAAGATATTAATAGAAATAGTATGTTATTAGAAAATTTACAGATTGTAGAATGGAGAAACTAAGAAAAATAAAGAAAGCCAGAACACTGGATAAATCTATTTTTTATAGATTTATCCAGATATGGCTCAATGAGGGTCATACCAGCTCGAAGGTTTGGCAAGACCAGAACAACAGAAGTGGAAGCGAAGCCTTCTTAGAAGGTTGGTCCACTGGTTTGAAAATTTCATTTGGAAAAAGTCGTCGTCTGATCATCATTCACATAGGCAGCAGTGAAGGATTCGGGAGAGATGGACTGATGCTGTTTGAATCGAATAAAAATGGGGATTATCATAAAGAAATGGATGCCACAATATTCGAAGAATGGTTTAAAAACATACTCGTTAAACTTCCGCAGGGATCCGTAGTAGTAATGGATAACGCAAGTTACCACAGTAGACGAGTCGAGAAGATGCCGATATCGTGTTGGAGGAAGGCAGATATTACTAAAGGCGCATCCACACTGGAGCAACATTTTCCAATATAATACAACAAAAACTTGTTACAACATGAAATGTTTTTTGGGAAAGAAAGTTTTTGGCTTTCTACTACTCCATCTTGATACAAAAAAAGATGAGGAAATCTTCCAAAGAAAGGAAGGAAGAATTATACTATCTAATTCAGTGTTCATATAGAACTCGAAAGAATTTTTTTCTTTCGTGTAATTCAATGTTTATATGAAAGTAGCTGTTTCAGGAGGACTTTCTTTCAGTTTGTGTCTGAAAGTTACTTCTTTGCATGATCTACACATCCATGTATAGAGTTACTTATTTTCAAATTGATTACTTCCTTCCTTTCTTTGGAAGATTCCCAAATCTTTTTTTGTATCAAGATGGAGTAGTAGAAAGCCAAAAACTTTCTTTCCCAAAAATTAATCACTTCTAAAAATATAACCCCTTCAATTCAAATAAAATGTTTATATTTGTTGGAATATGTTGTGTTGCATTGCATAAAGTTGGTGTTGCGATTCAACATAAGTTGTAGTATGTTGCATAAATCCATTTTTAGCTGTAAAGATCAAAGGATAATATGAAAAAAAGTAAAACATTTGTCAACATTACTTCGATGTGGACGGATTGTTGCGAGTTGAGACCTGTTGCAAATTGAGTGACTAGACAGTAGACAGACCGCCGCGTCTCAGTGTTCTGTTAAGTATAAAAGTGCATGTGCGTGAATTTTTAGGTTTTCGTGATGGCGTTTAAGTGGACTTCGGAGAATTGTTTAAATTTAATTGACAATTATAGACAACATCCATGTATTTGGAACCCTACAGAGAATCAAAAAATTATGCATGGAATGCAGTTTGTTCAGCTGTAGGGTGCTTATCTCAGGAAGAGGCAAAAAGAAAAATCCGTAACTTGGTGGCTCAGTTTTATAGAGAGCGAAAAAAATATCGCAGCATGAAAAAATCTGGAGCAGGCACTCACCTTCATTCCAAGTGGTTTGCCTACGATGCATTAGTATTTCTTCGAGACAAAAACAAAGTCCGCCCATGCAAGGAAAGTGAAGCCGAGAACGTGGTAAGTAAACACACAATGTTTTTACATATTAATTTTTCTATTATTAATTATTCAAACAAATAAATAGGCAATTTCAATTTATACATGAATTATAATTCAAAAATTATTCTGCCACGGCACCATCCCCAAAGGTGTAACGAAAAAATCAGCAAACTCTTGCCTTTGTTTGAAGGTGATTGACAATGTTTCATAATGAATTTCACTAGTTCGGACTTCCATTGTCTACTATATAAAATTATTTGAAATCCCTGAAACAACTAAAAAAGAAGAATTAAAAATGAATAGCTGAAAATAACAATTATATTAAGCAAAATAAACCTGAAATGAAATAATAGTGAAATAAAATACAAGTAAAATAGAACAATTGAACAAAAATAAAGTTANAAACATCAGGTTTCTATGAATCTTTCTTTATGAGTTGTGTGGATTATATACCCTGTAGCATTGTTTTCGGACGATATGGACATATAAAATAAATTTTCAATGAAGAATACTTTTTGGAGAATTTTAAGTCTCACCTCTTAGCGTTAGATGTCACTAGGTGTACAAAATTTTCAATGTTTCATTGTTTGATGAGTACATAAACCCATTTAATGAATTTAGCAGTTGATACTTTTATTTTAATTTATTTCATGGAAATAAAAGTTGTTTCCATTTCTATTATGAGCAACTACTAAAATGGTTTTCACCGCCATTCCGCTCTCTAATTTATTTGTTTACTTGGCGACTTGAATTTCACCTACGTACAAAACAAATATCGAAATACGTATAGTAAGTAGTATTATTTACTCTCAGAACAAATTGTACTTCAGAAAAACTACCTGTGAGTTACGCTACAAAATTAAATTATTGATGCCTTCAGAGTTGGAGAAGTTCATAAACCTTCGAGATTTGAGATCGTCCGGGTCGAGGTCTATGATTGGTCGAAATTGACAAGTCCTTGCTAGCTATTGGTTCGTTTCTAAGTTACCAGTTCGGTATCAAATTCCATTGCAACAAGGAGCAAGGAAATCATTTGTGGTCTCCTCGCCAAAGAGAACAGTCGGTTTACATGAAAAATATGCGTAATTTCTTTAACATTGTCTGTCCCCTCAACACATCAGGACAGATAGATAAAACAGTGAATGAGTGACTTTTCATGCCATTTCAATAATATTCCTGATTAGTGAATATTTACTTAGGTCGTAATGGCGCTCGTATGTGATATCAAAAGGTTTGCATTAATTTTTACGGCAAAATTACACAAAATATCGTTTCCGAGGCCAGAAATATGTTAAACTTACGTTGAGATCGATTTTTTCGCGAAAAATCTTAGAGAAAGCACTGCCAACGTCAAACATTCCACATGGGCGTGGGTACACACCCTGGGGCGAATCACCACCAAGACCCGATTCATGGCAAAAATAAGGCTAAGATACAGCCCTAAAGAGTGCAAAAATAGTTCATAACTAAAAATTTTGCTTCTAGGGGCCGTATTTTGAACCTTGATTCAAGAAAAATTAAAATGACGCGTCATTTTATTATGAACAGTCAATTTGAAGGAAGGTAATCTAATCATTATTATATCTTTTTTTCAAAAAATTCCAGCGACAAATTCAACTTATTATCGCTCCCAACTTAATATTAGCATATTTCTCGATATCCAAAAGATATAATTTGTGTATAGTAAAAGATGGCCTCCATATTATATGGCGTTGGCTGTGTGCCAATACCTTTCAACTTCACTTGATCTTATTTCTAGTCGATTTCTTATCGCAAACACTAACATATTTATTTTTAATAGCATGTTGAGGTAATTTGAGGAAAATAACTAAAGCAGAATATATGAGATTCTCAAAAACTTCAAGTAAATTTTATGTTTTCAATAGTACGAAATATCCGTTCTCCTTGAAATAACCTTGCGAAGTTGCATGAAGTTTTTACAATTTTCGCTATATTTTGGTGTTGGGCTAGTTACACCTAGTTTTAGATTTATTCATCTGCTGGTTTGCCGGAGCATCGTAATTGTAAAAAATTATACTTTTTATATATGTCTACCATTTCAAAGAATCGAACATGTAAATCCTAGTATTTTTTAGGACATTATCGACATTACATTGGAGTAGTTTTTCCTTTTTTTTCGAATCAATGTATTTTATAATTAATATTCAAAAAATATTTCGAATGAAGTTTGGAAAAAAAGAAGAATGAGGAATAAATAACAAATGTAAAATTGCTGAATTGGCACACAGCCCAAGCCATGACGTCACGTACGAAAATAACTTGCTCAATGTTCGACATCCTGTTGGCCTTGATAGAATCGATTTCTGAAGGCGCCACCTATAATTTACCATACCAAAGTTTTCACAAAGGCGGGAGCATTTGAAATATTTCTCTTGACAATAGAGTGCTTTTGAGTTTAAGTTATATGTGAGCACCAATTGGGTTATTATTTTTAATTCTAACTATCTGTTTTCTGATAAGGGAATATAAACAACATATACAGTAGATAATTGGATAATTTTAATAGAAATGTTTAGCTAGGGAAACGTTTTCTATAAATATAAAATCGTTTCACATTCGGAAAAATTTTGTTCGAAAATTTCCGATTCATACCTGTAATTTAGGAACTAATTAAGATGCCTACTTTATTTCTAAATTTTATCTATTGTCAAGTTTCTAAATCTACCTGACGTCATTCTTTGACCTTCAATCCTCATTACATAATTCAAATGGAATGGGGAAGTGACTAATTTCATTATAACATGAATTTTGAAACTCTCCAAAAAATTATTAGTTATTATGAAATGAATTTTTTTGATTGAGTTAACTTTTAATAGCTTTGAAGTTAGTCCTGTGGGACAAAAAATTTGCATAACTATAGTTAACATATTTCGTCTGTTTTGCTACCTGAAAACGAAGGTTATAGTAGGATTTATCCTTAAATGTTGGATCATAACTATAGTTAACATAAATCGTCAGTTTTGCTACCTGGAAACGAAGATAATAGATGGATTAACCTTGGAGGTTGGAGCCTAACTAACGATGCTGAAAATGGATTTCATTCTTTTCAGGTCTCCGAGAATATCGATTAATCCGCAATTTTGTTTATTCATTTTCCAGTTTTGGTTATTAACACCACTCACCTTAGTGAAGGTCTTATTTTCAACATGAGTTATTCATTAAAAAATTGTCTTATTTTTCAAATTCCTGACTTACCACCTATTATGAATAAGTAGTCAGTTGAGCTCCTAATTTATCTTCAAAAAATATTATTGCAACTGTTCAAGGGCTTGAATTCATATGACCTGTGTGCCAGTTAGAAACTGAGGAATATTTATAAGTGGAGAGGGATTTATTTCAAAACTTACTGTAAATAAGTACACAGAGGATCAAGAACTTACCAATTTTGAAATGAATATTTATAATTTATTTCTGTAGGCAAAAAACATGAAACCTATTTTAGAGTATGTACTGTTTTAGATGGTATTTTGTAGTGTCTGGTGCTTAGTTAAAGATGCAAATTGTATTAGATCTAAACCTAACAAGCAATGTCCGTCAAGTATAATTAGAAGTTTACTATACTATAGTCAACTACAAGGCGCTATACAATAACTTCAAGAAGCTATTGTATAGCGAAATATTCAGGTGTGTTTACATAGAGTTTGCCTTTGAAGCGAAGATAGTATTGAAACTAAATAATAGATTTTGAATCAGAGTTCAATTTTCCAGATGACAAAAATGTAAATAATTATAAATGTTCTCTATCTCCAATTTCTGATATTTTGCATTTTTATTATCGTGAGACTTTGAATCTATAACTTTTTAGTCGGCCCCTTTTTCAATCGCCCCAACTTTCTTATAGAAGAATAGCCTCATCGTGATTTCCAAGAACATTTTTTACACCGGCGGGGTGGGTGAATATTAAACCCGAAATCGTGTGCTTTGACTAATATTTCTAATACTTTTCGGCACATCTGTATAATAATTATTGGTATTCTCATTAATGACTTATGTTCTTGCATACATGTATGATGTTTATGGCAGTATAGTTGCCGATCTCAAAATATAAATTACTGATAACTTTTTTTTACAATTTGTGAATGATAGTATGTTACATTTCTGTAGCAATACTTCACAAGATGAACCGTATCAAAAATCGAAAGAAGAGCAAGATTTAGAAGATGGTGAAATTGAGGATGATGAAGAAGACACCTCTGCAGTTGCTGTGGAGATTTCAAAACCGCATGCATCAGCACCAGTAGCAGCTAAAATTCCCAATGAAATTCCTAATGAAAAAGAGAAGAAAAAAGACAAACCTGAAAGGTCTGACAAAAGAAGACACGAAGAAAAAGGAAAGAAGCACATGACTGAAGCAGAAAGAAGTATTTTGCATTTGAGGAAGAAAGAAGAATTGCAGCGAAAAAAATGGGAAAAATTCAGGCCAAAGGAACCAGTAGTAGATCCTCTAGGTAAATTGTATATATTTAATTATTATATAGTTTTATCTTCAACATAATAAATAAAACAATGCATCATAAATAATTTTGTAGACGATGACTTTGCCAAAAACATTGAAAAAACTCTTGCAACTATTTTGAGTAAGAAGGAAAAAGAGGCAGCCGCTTTAGCTAGTGGAGAGGAAAAAGAAAAGGACAAGATTGACGATAAAAGGGGGAAAAAGAGAAAGAAGAATGAAAAAGATCGAAAAGTATGCTCAACTAAAGATTTACTCAAAACGAAACCTTACCGATTGTTTTTCTTTCAGAGCAAACAAAGAAGAATAGAATCTCCAAGATCTGAAATTGATGAAAATGAAATGATCAACATGAGAGGAGGAAGTCCAGATAGAAAATTTGAAGAGAATAGGGAACCAATGTCATCCATGCATTCAGACGAAAGTTTTGAATCAGAATATTCATCAGACTCCAACAAGATTGAAGATAAATTAAAGAAACGAGACAGTAGAAAGGGAAGAAAAATCAAAGAAAGAGATCGTAGGGATAGAATTAAGAATAAGGATAAAGAACGTGATAGAAGCAAAGAACAACAACCCTTGAAAGATTCACAAGGCGTTTGTGTTTTTTATTTGCAAGGAAAATGTCAAAAAGTATGATTTAAGAGTGACTATGTATGTGAAATATTGAAATTTTTTTCATTTCGCAGGATGATTGTCCCTATTCCCATGAGGCTGTTCCACCAATGAAATTAGAACTCTGCAAATTCTATCTGATGGATTGTTGCGCAAAAGGTGACAAATGTTCATATATGCATTCTGAATTTCCTTGTAAATTTTACCATACAGGTTTAAAGTGTGCACAAGGAGATGACTGTAAATTCGCCCATGGCAAACCTCTCTCTGATGGTAAGAAATTAACATTTATGCTCTTCCTCCCCTAGTCAGAAAACCAGAATCCTTCCAAACCACCATAAGTATTGAAGTTTGAGTCAAAAGAATATGAATAACTGAAGGTCGTTAAAATTTTCAGGTCTGAAACAGATTCTGTTCAAGCACATCGAAACTGCTCCTCGAGACATTCTAGGCGGTTTTCCCAGAATGAGTAGAGAAGAAGCCTTGAACATGATTAATGCAACACAGAAAGAACTTCAAGAGCAACATGGTGCTGACAATAAGCAGGACGCTAAAGGTGGGATACCGTCCTTGTTTGATATTAGTGTACCTGTACCCCCTGAGTTATTACAAGGAAGTGATGGTTAGTTTTTTGTTTGTTTTTTTTTTACTTCATTAATTTTTACGGTTTTCATTTGAATTTTTGAATAATTTTTTAATACTAATTTATTAATTTGGCTTTGTAATTCAAAACAAGCATTTTTCCCAAATACCAGAACTGCATCTCCTGAACTTGGTTGGTGAAACATGAAAAGTATTGCAGTTCTAGTGTTTGGGAAACGTGCTTGTTTTGATTTTTTTTCAAGCCAGGGGTTTCAGTTTTATCTTTTATCATGTTTTGTTATGATTTTGTTATAACCAAAAATATCATAATGTAAATGAATGCTGCACCAAACATTCTTGCTAATTGCAGATGGGTTGAGAACTGTTGAATCTAAAAGTATTCTTTAAAAAGTTTCATTAAACGATCGAAGGGCTTTATTCACATCATATAAAAAAACAAGAATGGAAAGATTATTTTGGGTTTTCAATCTCAAGAGATGATGAAACCAATTTTCATCTCTCTTCCCTGACTACCCTTTCTTAACTTAATTACAACTGAAAAAATAGTGAAATAGTTTTTTTTTATATGATATAGGCAAGGGAAGATAGCTGACATATATTAATATTTTATTTTAAGGTATCAGTTAGATGATGATTTAGAAAAATATTTTTTAGATCTGAAAGGTAAGGCTGATAAACCAAGTCGGAATCGTCCTTCAAGATGGCAAGATCCAGATCCAATGGCTGGTAGTAAAGATTTTCCCCTCAAGACATTCAGTTACGGCCAAGACCAGGATATGAGAATTAATAGGTAATTATACAGAATGTTGGACATTTACAAATATGTCGTGATTTTCATCAACAATTCTACTTGCAAGCTTTTCTACATCTACTTCAAGAAAATAATGAAAATAATCTAAGTATCAGCACATTCTTTAGCAACCATTTTACTTTTGTTGGATGTGGTTGACAGTGTTTTTTGAATAATTTTAGAGTTTGGATTTCTTCATTTTTTATTGTTTACTTTTTTAACTAATGTATCTGAATTTTTAGGTGTTGGTATTTTTATGATTTTTAATATCTCATTATTTTTTTACCTTTTCATACAATACAGATCTAATAACACTTTTTTAGATAATAGAAGTCTGAATTTTTAGCCATTTAGAGAATCTCAGCTCACTTTGAAAATAAACAGTTACACCAAGATTATATTTTATTTAAAATTAGTCTATATGAGATATCAGTTTCAAGTCGGCGCTATCTACTTTCTAAATGCACATTTTTCCACAATAATCCTACAGAGTACGTTTCATGTTATAGTAATGGTGATGTCGACATGCGTACATTACCTCCTTCAATGTCGAATGTTACTCCTGCAAAGACTTCATCGCCCCAGAACAGGGAGATAGATCTTGAAAGGTACAAACGTGAAGCTGGGCTTCTTAGCAACTCTCCCAAACAAGACATAGATATTCGCACCTCAAACTTACTACCCTACCCAGTGACTCAAGACACAGATATAAGACTGCAACCTATTATGGCATCTAAAGACATTGATATTAGACAACTTCCTAAAATCTTCGATAAACCAATTACCACCAAAAATCTGATGGATCAAGACATGGAAGATGAGCCAATGCTTCAGATAGATACCGGGGAAGATAAATTACGAGACGAACCTGACAGTTTACCGGCTGATCTACCTAAAACACACCGCAATTTATTTTTAAGGATACAAGCACAACAAAAGGAAAATGTTGTGGAGACTGCTGGAAAAGAAGTATTTGAGCTGGAAGAAAATATAAACTGGTATTCAGATGATGACGATGACGATGATAATAGGCTAACTATAAAAGTTGACAATGAAGATTATAAAGATAAGGATGACATTCAGGACAAAATCAGTACTGGGTAAGATGGAAGACTAAATGTATTTTTTCATGGTTCAAAGATCTATTTTTCAGCAATCAGTTGATGTCTCCTCCTCAAATCAAACCACAGGATGTTGTGGAAAAACTGGGGGATCTCTCGAAAATTGATATTTCAGCTGAGGTAACAAAGCTTTTAACGTCAATGAGTCAAGGTCGTAACCAATTCCCATTTATCAAACAAGTGACTGAAACCGAGTTGCCTGCTGTTGCTGATGTAATGCCACCAGCCGTTGATACCCCACAAGTTGCGACTGGTGATCAAAAATCTATACGACAGGTAATATTCACTTGTATGTAATTCGTTGTAGACTTCGGCTCAAATTTAATAATAGCTGAAATATTCAATGTGTTATTTTTTGTTTTCCCTAAAAAAGGATTGAAAATTATCTGGTCATTTATTTGCAGAATGTAAGTCAAGTGATTATCTACAGACTAAGTTAATTTACAATTATGAAGGGATTTTCATAAACAAGAAAAATGTGTATTCATGGAAATATTAAGGATTAATATGACTGGAGTTTTATACCAACACCAAACCGTTATTTTTAATTATTAATCTTTCTTGAAGATAATCACTTGGTGATCGAAACACGTGTCGATGTGTTAAAAATGACAGTTTGGTGTTGGTATAAAACTCCAGTAATATTCATTACTACACCAAAGGTTCCCAACAGTGCTTCACAAATATTAGGAGTGCTAACTTATATATGAATAAAAGGAAGTTGTGGTTATGTTCTTCATCTGTATAGCCATATAGATTGATTGGAAACTACAGTTTTATGTTTTCATGTTTTAAGACACCCGAAAGGGTAAAACACAGTGAATTTCAATTTCAAAATTAAGTACTTAAATTGAAAAATTAGAGAAAAAATATTGAATAACCAGAACCAAGAAATAATGATAGAAATAAAAAACATCCACATATTATTGCAACAGATGGATGGTTTCCCTTGATTGAAAACTTAATATGACAAAATAAATTCAGAAAAGGTGAACTTATAGAATGACTGAATTATTGATTGAGTAGAGTAACAGGTTTCAATATTTTGGAAAATATTTTAGAACAATTTCAAAATTTATATACTTACTATTTCTATAATTATGCCCAAAACTATCAATCTGGAGTCTATGAAAGTACAGTTGAAGGATTATCTTAGGACTAACGAGGTTTATAACTGAAATATACAAAAAATGTAAACAAACAGTACCTATAGCAATTATGAACTTCAACTTTTTTAAAAAATGAATTTTCAAGGACTAAGTACTTTTTTGATACCGAGAACTTGAGTCTCCAGTCATGGAAATTTGTTTCCAACAGAAACTGATGTCATTTTAAACTATTCACAATGATAAACATATTCTCTGAAGTGTCAAATTACGTCGTTATGAACAATTCCTATCGGAAAAAGATTCCCATAACTTCACAACGATCAACATATGCTTTGAAGTGTCAAAATACGTCATTACAATGGCAATTTTTATTGGAAAATGATTCTCATATATCCAGAAATAGGTTCTTGGTGGTTCAATTCCATTGAAATGCTGACTCAGAGGTAATTTAAACTTTGAGTTTGCTTTTATTCAAAGTGCAATAAAGATTCACTGTTTTATTCACACTCAGAATATTCGTAAAATAGCCCTATTTTATATGAAACTCAAAACTTAATACTGGTGAAGTAAATTAAAAATATTAAATATATAGTGAGAAGAAAATAGGTTCCTAGCATATGCTTATATGGTTGAATAAAAATCCTCAATCTAAGACAAGTGAAACCCATATTTAACGAGGCAGCGAAAAGTTCCAAAAGGTTGAAATTAGAATTAGAGAAGAACTGCTATTTATTTTGTTGCACGTAAATATAGAGAGTGATGATTATTGTGGATAACACTTTCTTATCTTACAAATTTCAAACATTTCTATAACTAAAATCATATTCAGTTTGTTTCTTTTTGGATTTCCTTGAAAGTATTGTTTGTTAAAAGAAGGCTTGGAAAGAACGAAAATGTCTTTTAAATATGTCAGTTTTTTCTACAAATGTCATTGCCTGACAACTACGAAACGTACTGAAAAACATTTCAAAACTTTTGACTACTATGGTGAGTGTAATCAAATTATTGGTACAAGGGTACCAATAAAAGCAACCTGCAAAATACAGTTCCTTACCTGATTAGGCCCTCTGTCATATCTCCCACTCCTACAAATATCACTGAAGGTTGCTCAACAGGTAATGAGAGCCTTGAGCAGCCAAAATACATTGCAGCTACTAGATCTTTGTTGATATTAGAGCCCAAAAAAAAAACATTTGTGATCCAACATCAGATAGCCCTATTTCGACCAGCTATAGGACTCGACAGTGATGCTAGTCTGAATCACGAATGCATTGCTGGACTCAACATTCCTCAAGAAATAAGTCTGAATATGAAGTGAGCCTCGACATTTCCCCTTACGAAGACGCTATCTGGTGTTGGATCGTGAATGCTTTGTTATTAGGCTCTGAGACCAACAAGGTGCCTTGCAGTTAAAGCTGCAGAGAAATACTGAGGACGAACTAACTCAAAAACTAGAATGAGTATACACAATTACCCAATTTTTAACATAATTCAGTGATTCATTTGCTTGAGTACATTTTCAAAGATGATTGAAGAAAAATAAGAAAAGATTTCAATATGTGTGATTGATGACTTGTTTATTTTGTGGTAATTCATAATCACTTTAATGAAATGAATAAAAATACTAGTTAATTTTATTTATACGACCGGTTTTGGGTCCATTATCAAATATAAGTGTACTTGATACTTGATAATGGGGTTAAACCCGAAACCGATCATATAAATAAAATTAACTAGTGGTAATTAGACAAATGTGTTCAAAATAATAAGGAACACCATGGAGAAATTGTAAGAGTTACAAAGTTGGATGCATTATGAAAAAGTTGATACATCAATGAAGTTGTCGCCATAACAGGTAATTTATTCCAGGTGATGGTTTTTTCTGGTTCCTATTTTAATTGTAATTGGTGATGAAACATCGAATTGAAAATGAAAATGTTTTTCCTTAGATAAAGATTTAACTTGTCATTACCATAAGCTCTAAAGTGGGTAACTTTTTATAATTCAACTGACTTAATATCTCTCGTGGTTACCGATTTTGCCATGTTGAACCTCTTTATCTTGAACAAAGTATATGTTTCTCTATTTCATGAATATACATTTTAACTGAATATTGACCGTTATTCTTGTGATAAAAATAATCTTACAATTGAAACACATTCACGGAAATATTTTATTTATCAGGATCCAAGAATGTCCCTGGAAAAATCAGATTCTCAAAGGACAGACCGAAAGGTTTCAACTCCAGACCCCAGGCAAAAAAGTAAACAAAGTTCAACTGAAACAAAGGCAAAACCTGAGAAGCTTAGTATTTATGAGCAAGGCAGTATCAATCGAAATGCTTCTACTTCTGAGGAGGTTACTGACTTTAGAGGTAAAAAACATACATTTTTTAATATTTAAAAAATTCAATCTGAACAATTTAGTTTGTCATGAGGTTTGGTCATATGCAAGTGAACTTCAATAATTTTGTATATATCGGTTTGCATATATGGGCGGTACTGTGGGTGGACAAGAAGCCTCTCAGATAATGCTCTTTGAGGAAAGGCATCACCTATTCAGATACATTTAACGGACATATGAACCAACCTTGAAGTACCACAGTCATAAAGCCAGCTCAATATTGGATCATTTTACTCTACCATAGAACTTATGAAATTTAAAATTATGTATTTTTCAGGTATGCGATCAGATGTGGATTTGAGAAACTTACAACTTCCATTCAAAGGCATGCAAAACTATACACCAGCGTCTGAAATTGATGCTAGTATTAATTCTCATCCACCAATGGCTTGGAAGGTTACTCTGGTGGAAATACCACGTCCCGATTACAACGGTTTGAAATTGAGCATAAATGATGCTGAAAAGACTGGCGATCCAAGATTAAGAAAAATTTTTCGACTAAGCACAGAAGAGAGAGACACCCCTCTAAGTCCGAAAGCTAGTCCCAAAGCCAGTTCATCTGGAAGAGTCGACCCAAGGTTGAGAAAAGTTGAGGAGACAAAGGTTGAACCAGCCCAGGGTCCTTTGAGCTACACACAACAAATGAACATGTTACGAAGTTCAGTGTTTTATCAAAGTTTGACTAGCAATCAGAAAGTTTTATTGAACCAAGAGCTAAGTTATCGAACAGATGCAAACAATACTCATGATCCGGTTTTGAACAGTTTATTAGCAAATCTTGATATAATTCCTGGTCCCAACATGCCGTCCCACCCTAGTTTGAGTGCAGCACTGTCAATATTATCAAACAATTCGCCAAAAATTAATCCTCTTGTGGGACAAAATCAACCTCTAGTGGGTCAAATGGTGCAGAGTATAACTCAACCGGGACTACTAGGTGCTGCGCCTGGAATACCTAATCTTCCTTCAGATTTCCAAATAAACTTTAATCCAAGAAATGGTGGTTTATTAGGAAATGCTCCTATGCCATTTGGAGGATTCCCACCACAAGATGGACCCAGTAATTTTCCCTTTAACGATGACTTTTATCCCCCAGACAATGGAGGAAATTTCCAAGGAGGTAATAGAGAAAGGGGTTTTAATAGAGAGAGACGGAGGGGTAGGAATAACTTTCATAACAGAAATAGTGGTAATAGGAACTTTAGAAATAGGAATAATAGAACAAATAGAACTCATTCGCCACCTTAGGAAGGTGTTCCGTGTTTAGGTCTTTAAGAATTTTTCTCTGTAAATAGATAACTCAAGTTGTGCCAATGTTTATAATGCTGTTGTAATTTATATTTTGTACTGGGGTGCTTCGATTTTCTGTTTGAAAGATTTGTCAAAAAGTGAACCATTGTTTGGTTTATTTATATTTCGAATTTTAAGACTGAATGTGAGACATCGCTGTCATTCATAACGGTGATGAATAAAGAACATTTTTATCATTCAGATGTGAACATTTATTAAGCTGGGGTTTATATTTATTTGAAAATCGAACAAAGAAAATTTACCTAAATTAGCCGCCCTGTATATAAAGCTGAGAAAATTTCATTCCTGGATTATGGCATATTTAATTTTAAATGTCGTTGTAAATACTGTACTTCAATTTCTTTCTATTTGCTATTTTTTTTCCTTGAAAATATTTATTTTTGTTATATATATTTTAGAATATACTGTCTGGGAACAATTTCTGACGGTACAGTTGTATATCATGTACAAAATAAATGAAACTTTTTGAATGTAATGTTTTCTGCAATATGTTCCTTTTCTCTCTCCTTTTAGTGAAAACCAACAGTTCCTGTGAAGCGCTAACTCCATCCTCTGACTTCATAACTTGTATCTAGATTTTGAACTGTGTCAAGAGTTTTCCTACTGGTAATATTTTTATGCCACAAATTTTTGTGAATTATTCAATCATAAGTTTATGAATTTGTATTTCCTAATAATTTATACCTAAGTTGCATATCATATCATAAATAATTTGGTACCTACATTGTCGATACTTGGAATATCGATAAACAAAACTTTTGATATAATGTAGGATTTAGGAACTGGGTTATAGGTTAACGAGAGGACTATTGTTTGGATCGAGTTGTTCCTTGAGGATAATAGAATTGGGAATTTTCTATGACTTGTTTATTTCCATAGATTCCAACAGATTCATCATTTTCCTTTTTTCGCATGTGTGGAGGATTTTTAAATTATATTTATCTATTTTATGTTTCGAATTTTGAAGATGTTCGTACATTAATGATTTTTTTTATCCGAAATGACATGTTCATGGTACCTTATATCAAAATTTCCACGGGTTTAATATCTTCTAGAGCCGACTTGTGGCTCTTGTCCAAAACTATATATTAGCCAAACTAAGACAACATTTTCCAAATAATTAAAGAACATAGAAGTAGTTTTATGAATAGAAAGACCAATTACACATTTGCAAACCACCTTCAGTCATACATACGACGTGTTACATTTAGAAGAGAAGAGTTTTAAACTCGATCTTCTAAAATGTCTAAAACTCAATAGATTCAAGAATTCCAGTAATTTACTGAATAACCAATTAGAATTGAATGCATTCCCGTTACCAAATATTCTTTCAAATGTGGAAATTGAGACACTCAGGTACTTGAAATGTAGGTACTCTAAATTGTAAAATTAGGTATATCAAGCATTGAATATGTGGAAATAGTAAAGATACGCCCGAAGAAGTCATTGTATCGCGTAACACGTGTTGCGTTTTTGTTAAAACTGTTTTGTTTGTAAAACATTTTTGGCTGTGAGTCTTAGAAAGTATTTTGAAGTGTTTTTTGTATGAGAAATTTTGACAAAAATCCAACAGATATAATTCAACGATAATACGGGACAAAAGTTGTTTTCTGTTAGAAACTTGACAATGGAAATAACTATAGTATACGTTTTTGTGAGAGATTTTATCAATTAATCTAAAAGGTCGTTCACTTATACTTCAACGTCCTACTTCACAGTAAATTAGAAACCAGCCCAGAAAAATCATTGTTAAATCATGATAAAATCACTTATCCAGTAGGTGGCACATAGGGGGTTATTTTGTTTAATATTTTGAAGGGGGGTGTGTAGAGGAGTGAGTGATACGCATCTTAGCGATACCTCATATTTCATAAAAATTTACATGTTTCGGGAATTTTGCATACTGTCTTATTTTTGGATATATTAAACGTGGCTCCTTTCGAAAAAATTTTCCTATATTAAAAATTTTGCAATTAATTATTTATATTTTGAGCTGTTTTTGAAAACGAAAGAATCAAGATATGGAAGCTGAAACAAAAAACAATTCTCATATAAACCAATTTATTTACACATTCCATAAAATAAGTTGAATACATTTTTACGATAACTATAATACATGCAATTTTCTTGATAAAAAAATGGAAAATCAACATCTGGAAGTTATTTTTCTAAACAACTGAAAAAATCAACATTTCTCAGATCAATTTAAGCATTCTACAAATTGAGTTGAATACATTTTTTTTTATAAATATAAAGTAGATTTTTTTGATAACAAAATCAAGAATCCAAACCTCAAAGTAGGCCAAAGGTCATCCACACCGAATTGAATCCCTATAGCAGGAACCATGAAGTGATCTTTCAATAATGATCTATGTGCAGTACGAACTATTTTTTGATAGATTTAACCTACTAGAGTAACACTTTATCGTGAGATTTCTACTAAACAATTCAGAAAACTGTAACATGCGTTTCACTATACAATAACTTCTTAAAGGGTGTTCAGAGAAACAAGTGTTGCAGTTTTGTAAATTGTTTAGTGAAAATTTAGCAAAGTGTTTAGTAGAAAGTTTGTATTGAACACTATTTAGTGAAAAATCTCACAATAAAATGTTACTTAAATACATCATCATTGATTTTCATCAATTATCGGCCAATTCCACCACATACTTCAATTAAAAATCGTTTTACAGAAATGTTGAAAATCATGAAATTATCTTCTATAACACTATATTGTGCACTGACAATAAGAATAACAAACAACTGTTAGGGGAAGAAAGGTCAATAGTGGGCAATGGTGGTCATGCACATAAAACAAAAACAGTGTTTTACGGGTGTAAGGTGTGTCAACGTGTTGCTCCTCATCGCCGCGAATGACAGAAGCTCCTCGCTCATTCTTCTTGAAACCCATGAAGTTTCTGATGTTAGTTGAAATTGTTCATCATTAACATATAGTATTGCTCATTTCTGATCAAAATATGTACAGCTTGTCAAATCTAGGAAGAGACTTGATAATTAAATGATATAGATATAGAAATAAAATACTTTGTCTAATATCAATACATTAAGTAAGTGGAAATTAGACAAAGTATTTTGTTTCTATATCTATATCATTTAATTGAAGATGAATTTCCACAAAATAAATAGGTCATCAATATCACAACTTAGACTTGATAATTCTCTCTCTCTCTCTCTCTCTCTCTCTCGCTCTCATAGTCTTCTAACGAACGCACATTTAGTCAAACGGGACCATAACTGAATTCAGAAAGCTCTTCCTACATTTGACAAGCTGTATTTGGTCTGATACGGGGGATTATTGTGGTCATACTCTGAACTGAATATAATTTCTTTGCTTTTAGATGTCAAAAAATCGACGCAGAAAAATGCAGAAGGCTACATGGTCTGCCAAGACGTTGGACAAAGCTCTGAAGCTTATAGATAATGGAAGTATCTACGCAAAAAGCCGCCGACCAAACTCGAATCCCATTTTTTACGTTACAAATTCGACACCAAAAGCAATTTTATGGTACTCCATCTATAGGGTCGTAAAGCTCTATTCTCCGTAGAAGCCTAAAATTGCCGTACAATTTGAATAATGATAGTAAAATGACGGGACTGGAGTGCCTGCACGGCATCCTAAAGAGAAAAAAGTATCAGTGTATCAGTAACAAAGCCGGAAGTCACCCACATAAATAGATTATCGACCTTGTATCTCAACAGGAAAAATTTCAAGCGACATTTCCCTCTTCTGAAAAAAGATGGTTCTGCTGGTGATATTGACCATCCCTCAGAAAATGGTTGGTTGAACAAAAACCTTTCATTTATATAGCTTCAAAATTTCACGAAATTCGCCAAAATTTATCTTGTTAGTACTTGATAACTACGTAAGCCACATTTCTGATGATATTTATAAGCAAAGCAAAACCACAACATTCATATACGGTTCTTACCTCCACACTTGTTCCATCAAATGAACTACCTTGCACAAAAAATAAGCACATATGATGTAACATCTTTGTTTAACAAGACATATTCAAATGTTGTTTCTATAAGTAAGGGAGAGTCTGGATTCAGATCCATAGACATCTTTCCAATAAACTCTAATATATTCAGTGATTAAGACATTTTGTCTGCCGAAATACTGAAAGGCAAATCAGTAATTATTAAAAATAACATTAGCTTTTGTCAGACATCATCTGCAAGCATTTATCTTTAAACTGCAATTCCAAACACATCTAAATCACCATTACTGGTTGCATCAACATCTGGACAAAAAACAACACCAAAACGACCACAGGTTGAAAATTATATAAATTGCCTACCAAAACCCCATCTGTGAGCACAAGACAAAAGTGAAAAAAGCAACATTCTACCATTTTATCTTCAACCCCAGTTAAAGACAGTCTTATAGAAAAGGAAAATAAAAAAAACTCAGATTAAAAAGGTAAACATAAGGACAAAGAAAAGGGTAAAAAGCAAAGAATACAAGAAAGATCTTAAAAAAGCAATAAGGAAGATTCTTCTTTGAACGACGTAGATGCTGACAACCTATGCTTCGATGATGATGAAGAAGACCCAGAAAACCATTGTCTCATATGCGGAGAATTCGGCCTAAACAACGACGTAAGTACCGATGCACTACTGGGACTTTAGCTGCAGTGGCTGGGATTTCACAAAGGGTTATGTACGTGACATGTGTTAGTTAGATGTCAGCATCATAACTACTATTGTTCTCACCTTCTATTTTTTTTATTTTCATAACTATCAGATGGTGATGTCAAAAATCATGTAAAGCTGCAATTTATAATTAAGAGTTTTATTTAATAAGTGCTCAACTGACCACCATTACCCCTTTTATCCCTACATTCGATAAGTTCTGAAGATTACTTCCGTAATCGTCATTAAAGCAAATTTTCAGTAGAATAATATCACAAGCATTGCTAATCCTGCAAAATCATATTCATAGAATTAAGTCTAAATATCTCACCTCACGCTGGTATGTAATCCCGAGTGAAAGAGGTTGGTCTAGAATTAATCTCTTCTTCATCTTTGGAGTCAATCTTTTTATAGATGATAACTTTGATACCAATCTTAGCCAAACCATAAAAAGACTGAGGTCTCAAATTTGTACTGGTAAATCGCCAACCCAAGTGGTTGGCACAACTTTTACATTGCATAGTTGTCCAAGCATATCTGAAACAATGAATATTGATATCTCTACACTGACCATTGTTCGTGTCATTATCAAAAATTATAATTTTCAAAAACAATTTGTTATGATAATACTCTGATAGGATGTCCTTTGATGTTATGAAGAATAGCTGGCAAAAAATGGAAAGATGAACCGAGACATTCTTCGCCGAGACATTCTCCATTATAATGTGTTAAACAAAAACACTTTAATTTGATTATTTCCATCTAAAAGTTTACAAAACCGCGACGCGTGTTTCGCTATACAATAGCATCTTCAGGCGTACAATGTATTGTTGACGCCTGAAGAAGCTATTGTGTAGCAAAACACGTGTCACGGTTTTGTAAACTGTCAAGTGGAAAATTTCACATTAAAGTGTGTTTTTTCAATACGTTATGATGAATTTTAATCAGGTATAAGTCAGTTCTATCATATTCTTCATTAACAATTTGAAAAGGTAATTCTCAATTTTTTCAAAGCCATATTTGACCAGTGAGCAACACTGGTTCCTCTTCAAGTTACTCTGTCCCATATTATTCATTTCATAGATTTCATCTACACATCCATGTATAGAGTTACTTATTTTCAAATTGATTACTTCCTTCCGTTCTTTGGAAGATTCCCACATTTTTTGTATCAAGATGGAGTAGTAGGAAGCCAAAAAATTTCCCAAAAATTATTCACTTCTAAAATCAAATAGATTTCAAGTTAAGCGGTACGATCGTTACAATTAGATTTCCAAGTGGACGACGACTAATGCCTTCTCTTCAGGGTTAGTTGGAATTCATACACTAAATCATTTACTTTTTTGATTACCAAATCGAGGTCTTTTATATTCTCAGTAGCTTGAAATAACTGACGCAAGTCAACATTTTCTATCATTCTGAAAATTACTCCTAGTTGGAGTGTGAAGAAATTTGGATTCAATAATCAAATTAGGTAATACGTGATAAGAACTCTCAGCTGCTCTATTATCTAAATAACGCACTGATGTAGCTGAGGACTCCTTTACTATCCATGTGCGACTCCTGAGACTTTATAGTTTTTGTGTCAATCTCAGCCTTTTTCACAGTCACTTTTCATTTATTATATAGATTTTCGATGATTTGAATCATCTCGATGCTTAAAAAACATTTGTATCATTTATGCCATAACTCATGATTTATGACATTGAAAGTTCTCTCGAAATTTATAGAGAGAGCAGCAAAACACTTTTTCTCGTGTAGCCCAAAATAAATTGGTATAGTGGAATTAGGTATATTGTTCAAAGCACTTCTTTTTTTTCTGAACCCTCATTGATATACTGATTAAATTATCTTCACAGAAGTTCAGAAGTCTATTCAAAAGGATTGATGTAAAAGCTTTGGATAAACTGTTGAATAGCACATAATTAATATTGTTTAAAACCAGTTGAATGTCCTTTGAACAGAATAAATAATTTTATTGTAAGCACATGTAAAAACTAGTCAGTTTTACATAGGCTAGTGAATCTTTACCCGAAGATCTGCCAATTGTGTACATTTCAAGAGCGGTACATAATTCATCTAATGAAATATCAAGGTCAGTGTAAAACAATTTCTTGCACCAGACAAGTTCAAATTGAAGACATTTCTTTGTTGGTACACATATCTACGAACAAAATTGCTCACTTGATCACTAACGCTATTGTTAGTTACTGTTATAGCGTCTAGGTCTGTAAATAAGACTAAATATGTTCAGGATAGAGTCGCCGTTATATATAATGAAATGGAATCACCTGGAACTGACTGCTTGCGTATTTGCCTTATCATTTGCATTATCCAGAACAATCACAGGTAAACAAGTAATTATTCTGTAGATGGCAGGACCTTACTTGCCTCATTGATAACAATAGAAAACCATTAACAAGTACAAGCAAGATGAAAATGAGTCAACACCATGTTCAATAGAAGAGCTTGAGATCAAAGAAAAACTCGAATATCTAATATTATATTATGCCTCCACCATAGGTTACTTCAAAAAACAAAGAACCAACTTATATCGAACTTTGACCCAAACCTAACAGTATAAGTTTTCTGCGGTTTAAATAATTATAATTATACATAAGTAGTGAATTGGATATCTTTCAATTCACTTGCAATGGATAACAATGTATAACAAGAACAGTATAATTGAATATATATTTTTTTTCAAGTGAACTGTGAATGTTTCAATATGTTATTGTTTTTTCTTGTGATTAATGTGTTCAAGTGACATTATTTATACAATATTTATATTGACAATATTTACCTATATTGTACTTATATTGTTAATGTCTATATGTGAGTCATAACTGTTGCAGTGTAAAATTTTTTCTTCTGTATTGTATGTATATTTTTTATATTTTCTGTAGGATGTACCTTGTAGGATGTACCTAAGCAAATTTTGTTATGGAAGATATTTTTGAATGTAACAGAAATTGTAATTTGAGGTTAATAAAATTCACCAATTCATTCATATATTTTATCATCAAAAGTTTTCACTACAATTGTTTATGTAGTGAAAATAAAATTATAAATTGAATTATGTTATTGATATTCACTGTTACTGTGGCTGCGTTCTTGAATTTTTAAAAGTTTCAATATTCTTAATAGAGTAGGCAAAAGTAAAAATATGTGTTTCAAGTCTACTGTTTGTAAAATAAATTGTCATGAGAAATAAATGCCACGAAAAACGTTAAAAAAACACAAAAAACTTCTGATCATAAATTTTCATATTTTGAGTGAAACTTACCCAGGAAACCAAGAAAACTGCTTAGAAGGATTCCCATTCAATCTGAAATTTTGCGCTTCTAACACAGTAACTGTTTCATATACGTGTCCTCCTGAAATTTGAAATAGTATGTAAAAAAATGGCTTGTTCATTGAAATAAGGATAATTTTGATTGAGGCACAAGGCTATCAATAGCCATTTGATAGACAATTTTCTTATAATTGAAGGGAAACAATAAGAAATTCCCATAAGGTACCATTAATTCATAGTGCTAGGACACTAAACATAAACAATTTTCAACTCTGTTTTTAAAATATCAAGAGAAATGCCCTCAACTAAAAAATTTATCAGGTCATAACCATATGATCACAACACAATTAGGATAATAAATAACTAAAAATAATTTTTAAGAAACCCCTTTAAAAGTAAACAGTTATGACGTCTCACTTTTTGTAGATGTCATCTTTGGAATCGACAGAACACAGTCCACGTATATCAAAGATAAACTAGGCTCCCCAAGGCGATCAGTTGCGAAGCCAAGTTTTGACATCGGTCGCCAAATGAGATTAGCCCTCTGCCTTCCTCTACAGCATCAACTTCGAAGCAACTAGATGAAACCAGAACCCAAAATCAAAGCATTCGTAATCCAACAAGACCTAAAGCTTTTTTTACCCACCATAGGTCTCATCTGTGGTGCTAGGCTGAACCACTAATTGTAATTTTGAAATTGATTTACGACTTCTCAGAAGCGGTCTATAGCGAATATGGAAATTAACAAACCCTTCATCGATATCCAAGGTAGATTTTCAATAAAGTGACTGACTACTGATGTAAAATATTGGTTGAAACTGTACAGTGTTTCCCAATAGTATTGTTAACAATATTCCACATGGTATAATTTTCCTTTGATAATGCATTTAATGACTGCATTTAATGGAATGCATTACTATTTGTAATTCAAATGTTGCATTAAGTGAAGAATGTTATAATAAGTATTGGGAAAATTCTGGAGAAATATACCATGAAATCAATATTCAGGTCAATGAAAACTATCAGAAAGAGTCTAAGGTCAACTAAGGACTCCAGAGGGCCTCTAACAATATTGGAAGATTATAGAGATAATGTCCTGGAGCACACCAACACAAATCAGCAGTAGTGGAACTTTAACTTATAGAAGAGAGACCCAACTGCATAAAAATTTAGAAACATAGAAACAATTACAAGCAAAGAAAGAGGTGACTAATATTAATAAAATTTAGCTACCTGCATTTGATTGCTCACATATCAGGATCATTCGATTGTACCAATAGGAACGAACCCACTCCCACCTACATCAAACAAATAACCTCAACCGTTGCCTTATCGCCTACGATACATCTGCTGCAGTCACAGATACAATGTCAGGTACAAAAACCTGCAGACTACGGCCAACAAACCCGATAAACAACTTTTAAACAGTAATCTCTGGCCGTGGAAGTTTAGACTCTGCTTTGTGTCTATTTGCTATCTCCAAGTATTTACAAGAATGAGCCACACATTGAATTCAATCAAAAAATTCAGATATTTTTTCACCTACCAGGATTAACATAATTACTCTGAATACCATCTTTTGACATTGCAAATACTTTGGTTGGATCTGTGATGTTGGCATTACATCTGCTACAACATATTATCCTTTCCTGAAACAGTTGATCTTGAAATAATTACTTGATACTAAAATTGAACCTTACATAAGTCAAATATTTACACTCCAATTTCAACCTTTCTAAAGTCGAATTTAATTTTAAAATATCCAGACGTTCTTCATGGCTTAGCTGGTAATTCTGTACAAACCAATAACTCAACTTCACTGGATCATTTGGAATGTATTCTTGAAAAAAAAAATTCAGTCTTGATTTAAGTAATAAAAATATGAATAAATTACCTCCAACATAATGAGCCAGACCTTCTAACAATATTTTCACATAGTAGCACACTTCGTATCTGTCATACAGCCAAGAAGCAAGAGGATACTGTGCTAAATGATATCTAGAACATATTTTTTCATTTTCCTCAATGAAATTTCAATCAAGTTCAAAAATACCTTCTGAATTTGTAATTTTTCAGTATATCAGAAAACTGTGAAGACATTAACAGCCGCTTCTGTTTCAAAGAAACCATTTGGGTGTCACATAAAGGAGAAGAAATTTCAGGTTCAGCTTTAATTTTTATGGTAACTTGTTTTAATCTTCCGGTCCAACTCTTTACTTCAGTACCACTAACAAGTTGGCACCTTTGTCTGCCTCGAGCTTTAATGTTGAGAACATTGTCAAGCATCTGTGTTTCAAAAATTTCCATCGTTACTCCAAAATTGAAAATTCCATCTAATATTGAGCTGAAAAAGAAACATCACATATTATTATTTGTTTGAAGGTGATTGACAATGTTTCATGAGGAATTTCATTAGTTCGGGCTTTCATTGTCTAATATTATATAAAATTATTTGAAATCCCTAAAAGAACCAATACAAATCAATTATATTTGTATTGGTTCCTATTTGTAAGTGTTGAAGAGATTTACATCAAATCTTTTCTTGGCATTTATTAGATCAGTATTTATTTTTGTTTGGAGTTGTCCGTGACCTTCATCATGCCAAAAGAGAGTTGTATCATCTGCGAATTGATATCTTCTGTAGCAGAAGTTTTTCTTCATTTTTTTGAAGTTTCCAATATCTTTTGTTCAATATTGGAGAAGTAGAAAGCCAAAAAACTTCTTCCCAACAACTGATCTTTCTTAAAAATATTTTCTTTTCAATTCAAATAAAGTTCCTATGGCTAGGATTAATTAACCGTATGATTATGTACATGTACTGTCATCATAACAAGAGTGATGTTACAAAAGAAATAAGTGATTAGTCTTGTACTGTTATCCAAAACGATGGATACGAGTGTTTTGACTTGAATCTTTGAAGTACATCATTGATGGTGATAGTGTTCCAAATAAGTGACATTTTATATCAATACTCTTTCATATATCAAATTGTGTTCGACGTTTCGACTCCGATTTTGGAGCCATTTTCAAAAAATTGATGTGACTTGAAGACGGGGCCTCAATCGCCTACTTCCCAGGTCTCGTCACGAGTTCTCTCTGAGGTCTCGATCTGCCTACTTAGATTGAACTGAGGTATCGAATGGTTTTCGGTGGTATTTATATCAGCGGGTGCTATTGAAGTGGAAATGTGGGAGCGGAGCTTCAGGTAATTATCATCACCGGACGTCTTGGTGGGGGGAGGAGATCGAGAAATTAGGGGTTTCCAGGTAGTTGGAAGTCTCTGGAAGGCTCTACTCAAATGATGATGGCCCGACCAGCGCTCGTTATGTTATAAATACCATTGTCAAATTACAACAAAATTAGGTAAAGGATATTTAAAATATTTACGAATAACTTTTTATTTATTTTTATTTTAACACCCTGTATCTTGAGAACGAAGGATTTGCGGACCCATGTTTATATGAACATTTCGTCTTAAAATTACCTAAAGAATCGTCTGTTACATTTATGGTACATACTTAATTAACACCCTGTATAGACGAAACTGCATTGTAGTTACAAATAAAAAAGAAATGAGCAAGTGTATATTCTGAGACTGAAAGATGTCCTAGTTTTTTAAATTCTGATATTGACTTGTTGCAAGTTACGAATTATCAAAGTTTTTCTCAGGTCCAAGATTATAAGATAATAACTCTTCAACTGAAGTTTATTGAATAGATAATTAAAATAGCTATCATATAAGACTCTTCCCAACTTGATTATTTTTCATTGTGAACGGTGACCCTAGCCTCACCTGACAATTTTGTCAATGAAATTATGTTAAAAAGTAGTAAGAGCTGAATCAATTCATAAATTTTTTATTGATATCTTATCCCGTTTGAAAATAACTGGAAAAACTATTTTCATTCATACTATGAATTGAATAATGTAGCTGTTACTACTTGGTAGCATATCATCATGAAAAATGAGAAAGTTTCATTTCTCATTTTTCACATTCATACTATATATTTTAGAAAAAACAAACTTACTTGGCACACAATAAAACGAATACATTATTTTTTTCTATGAAGGTTTGCATGATTGAGGTTTCCTCACTAGTATTCATGACTAATGGAAGAGTGAATCCCGGGAATACCATTGTAGTTGTATATATTGCTAAAATATTCATTACCTCGCCATCATCATACAATGTATAACCTGTTACACTATCCAATTTTCCCAAATACTGAAACATAACATTTCTAGTTAATAATCAGTTATTAATATTCACTTCATTTTCAACTTTCCCAAGAAACATTGGCTCTTTATAATAGGTAAATTCAAACTCAAAATGTGTATGAAAAATACATAAATATGTTCAAAGATAAATTGTCAAATTATTGATTTATGAATTTGAAACCAGAAGGAAACTTTATTCAAATCATGAATTACTTCAACTTTTATAGAATCAATAAATAATCGAGAGTATCATCTGTATATAGCTTAATTGAAACTTTCAACTTCAACAATGAAATAGAATTAATATAAATAGAAAATAATAAAGGTCCCAATACTGATCCCTAATTCCAATAGTATCTAATTTTTCTATTAAAACTGAATGGTCAACAGTGTCGAAAGCTTTACGTGAATCCAGTGATGTGAGATATGATATATTGGATTGCTCTCTCTGTATCTCTGGATTTAACAAAATCATATTGAGGTTCAAATAAAATATTTTTTCCAAAAGTTCACGCAATCTAAAATTCGAATTATTCCGTTTCAACAACATGAAAAAAATGTAGGTACCAAGGCAACAGAAGTATTTTTCAAATAAAAATATTTGAAATTTTAAAGCATTTCCATACAACCAAGACTGACACGTACTTTTGTATAATATACAAGTCTTCCACACAAGTATTGTGTGTTATGTGATTTTATTCTTTGCTATGAGTTAAGACCCTAACAACCTATGATATGATGGAACTAATCCCAATAGTTCAATATATATTGACATAGATACGTTAGAACAACAAATAATCTATTAAAGAAAATTAAATAAATAATTGTTGAATGCAAAATTTGAACATTTCAATCAAATTTGCCAGGCAATCCTCACTCCATTCAAATATTTACCGAATTGTCAATCTTCACTAGGTTATGGGGAGCTATTGATATCTCTAGATCAGCATAAATACACAATAAGTAGAAGCACTGAAACTATCTCGTAAAATACCTTTGATAATGATTACATTTTACTTTTCTGGGCATTTTACACACTACCCTATCAAAATATCTATCTAGCAATCACTCTGAATTTTAAAGCTGAAATACTACGCTATAAGGGGAATGTCACTGAATTGAATGGAATTGTACTTGAGACATCTGAAAATGTAGTCATTTTTGCATTGCAATTTTCATTAAGTCATCATGAAAACCTCTTAATGACTATAAAACGAATATAACTACCATCTGTATTCATCAAAAGTTTTCATTTCACAGAAATTTGATGTAAATATTGGAATTGCAGACCTCACGAATGCCTGTAAATATTTTAACAGTGGTAGGTTTGTGAATCTATGAATTCTTTATTATAAATTCAACATAAATATCCAAAAGATCAAACTTATACAACTAGATCCAGTAATCTTCTTGTGCAAAATGCTCATCAAACTCAAGAAATGTAAACTTTCTAATAAAGAAAGATTAAACATCTTTAGCAAATCAGAGCGAAGTATTCTCTTGTGATAAAGGTGAGCACAATTCTGGTAGCACAAATAATTTTTTATAGTGTTCTCAATAAGTCAGAAAGTGAAAATGAGTGCAACATAAGAACTATTTCCATACTTACACCACTGATAATTATTTGAACATTTTCAGTGATGAAAATACATATTTTGGTCTAGAATAATATACAGAATGAGAATAAGAGAAAGTACAAATCAGATTTCATGAACCGTCATTTCTTATTGAATAAGTTAGTGTTAAGTGAGCAATAACAGATTTAATCTGAAGACAAACCGTGACATTTCGGTCTATTTTCGATAATATGGTCACTCAAAAGTAAAAAAAAATGTCTATTTCAAGAATTGACTTCTGTTCGGTTAGAAGATATGAAAATCTGAGCACACAGTTACATAAATCCATCAGCACATTAAAATGCTTACTTATCTACCTATATGTATTTTCATTTTTTCTAGATAATTTTCAAAAAAGAAAACTACTACCCTGTGAGTAGTAGGCAAATCCCGATCAAACTCTCCATCATTACTGGGATATGAATCTGGATCATCATCATTACCTTCATCATCTGAAAAAATAAAGACGAGACACTATAAAAATTTACTATCACAAAAAACTCATAGATTTCTATAAAACTTGGTGAACAATATATATGTACCTGAAGAATCGGAATTTTCTACGTTAGACGTAAAATATCCATTTTCGACTAATTCCATTGGAGGATACCCTTCGTCATCATCATCATCAGTATCCCGATTTTCTCGATCAGACATTACTTTAAATAATTTTACTTGTTTTTATTTGTATTACAATGTAAACAAATATACCTCAGTCAGAATACTAATAGTATGGTAGTTCAAACTAACCCTGAATTAAACTTCTTCTCGCATCAGAGAACCACAAAACATATTCAAGCGTTTTCTTCCATTGGATATTTTATGAATCACTATCTCAGAGTAACAAAAGATAATAGAGAGGCCTTTTCCATCCTTACATTGAAGGCAGTATAACTTTGTTTGTTTATGGGAAGTAAGTTGGACCATAAAACAGTGGCGGTTGGTTTAGTTGATAATCGGAGGGATAGTATATATTTATAAAATCATTTCAGGTGAAAATGTATTCTGTTCAAATAATTTCTACATGAAATCTGATTTATTATTAATGATGAAAAACCAGTTTTTCTACCACCTACTAGATTTTAAAATTAAATTATTTCATATGAACTAATTCATAACAATGATAAATATTAATTTCAAAAGTAATGAACTTTGCTTCATATAACCAGAAGAAGAAATTTGTGATTTATTCCCAGATTTTATAAACAAGCGGTACGGTTTGTGAGGTCCGATATAGAGAATTTTCGATTAGAAATCATGAATATTTATAATTACGATTGAGGTTTGATATTATTCTTTGATTTCATTCAAAATTGGTATCTAGGGTTCCTTGTGGACCGACATTATAAAAGAGGATATTTTTTTAATGATCTTTTTTTGTTCTTATTTTTACAAATGAAGTTTTTGAAACTAGATTTATATTATTTCATTATCTGAAATATCCCAACCAAGAAAATGTTAAAAAAATGACAACCGTCATTTCTTATTGAATAAGTTAGTTGTTAAGTGAGCAATAACAGATTTAACACCGGTTGCACAAGAATAACTATTTAGTATAGAAACATTGAACAGAAAGCTTTTTAATCTGTTGATCACAGAATTAATATGAATTATGGCACACATATGAAAAACATATTTTTCATTTTTGAATACAGTTTTTTCAGCATGAATTATTGAAAAAAAAAACATAATGTCGGGCCACAAAGAACCCTAGATATCAATTTTGAATGAAATCACATAATAATATCAAACCTCAATCGTTATTATAAATATTCATGATTTCTAATCGAAAATTCCTTATATCGGACCTCACAAACCGTACCGCTTGTTCATCAAATCTGAGAATAAATCACAAATTTTTTCATCTGATTATATGAAGCAAAGTTCATTACTTTTAAAATTAACATTATTCATTGTTATGAAATAGTTCATTTGACTTATGATGCACTGTTTGAAACCTTTGGTGTAGTAATGAATATTACTGGAGTTTTTTCCAAACACCAAATCGTTATTTTTAACACCTCGATACGTGTTTCGATCACCAAGTGATCATCTTCAAAGAGTAAGATTAAAACTATAAACTAATACGAGCTAACCCTATTTATGTTATAAAGGTAACCTATACAGGTAAACCATCAAAGCGTATCAACCATACAGGTATACCAACCGAAATTAATTTTACAATTTTGCCTTATCTATTATTTTACAATATTTGTTTATATAAAACAATTTTCAGCTATATAAAAATTAATTTCACAATATTGCCTATCCAAATTTATTGTTGCAATGTGTCCTTATGTAGTAATCAGTAAACCCAACAACATTATTTTATTTTAACAAGCTATGTAGTATGCTCTTTGGTATAGGTCCGTCATCGACCATCATAATATTATTGTGTTTACTTATTTCTACACTCTCATAGGCATCTAGTTGCCTGTTGTTGTTAACTTGTCTAACTAATCTTAATGAACTGAAGTCTATGGAATGACCGCCACCCCCTCGCCCATAAGTTGTACAGAAAAGGGTAGTACGTAAAATGATTTATTTTATAAGTATATAATATCCCTCCGATTATCAACTAAACCTACCGCCACTGTTTTATGGTCTAACTTACTTAAAATGTAAACAAACTCTCCATAACCCCTCATTACTCGCCACCCCCCCTACTAACCAATAAATTGTACAGAAAAGGGTAGTACGATACCCGCTTCAAAATACATGTGTTGTATGGGTATAGGCATGGCAACTCTATATCTTATTATTACTCTGAGATTACTATATAGAGAGATTTGGATAACTCTTGCGCGGGAGATCTATAATTTCCCACCGATCTATACATCAGATTAGAAGTTACGACATACAGTGTGTCTCACTTCTCATGGAAACACCCCCGTATCTTCGGAATATTCGAGGTAGAACGATGAAACTCTCTGGACTGATGGAAATGCTCAAAATGCACTACCACCTGAATGGGGTTGGCCAAAGTGAAATACACTGTCCGTCACTCGCGATGGAACACCCCATTTTTACGGTAAAACATATTAGAGGGTAAAACATATTAGGGGGCAAAACAGGCTCAAAATTCCTTCATATTCGTGATCAGGACTACCCACTTACTACGATTACACTTTTTTCCTGAAAAAATTTTAGTCCTGAAAAATCCGAATTTTTCTCACTTCTTATGGAAACACCCCCGTATCTTCCGTAATATTTGAAGTGGAACGATGAAACTCTGGACTGATGGAAATGCTCAAAATGCACCTACCACCTGAATGGGGTTGGCCAAAGTGATATACACTGTCCGCCACTCGCGAAATAATGAAAGAATATATTTCAGTGGTTTTTGCTGCATTTTAGTAGTTTTGCTATTACTTGTCCTTCTTTCAACCCTTTTTTTACTAAATTGTTAACACTATATAACTTTTGAATTGATCATCTGTTTGACAGAAAGTCATGAATAGCAACTCAAAATGCAGCAAATTCTACCAACACTTTTTTCCAACTAATAAATCTAGATCCTTGTCGAAAATTACAAATGACCCAGCACTAATCTTATGAAAAACCGGTTTCGATGAAAATCGCTGGAATTTTCATATGGACATGCCATCTTGAACAAAAGTTACCATTGCGCTAACTCTCTGAATGCCGGCGTTTGGATTCTACAGGGGGTGAAATTTTGATATTTTGCAGTTTTTTCAAAAAATCCGTAATTTAATTTTCATCGTTTCGATCTGAATTTTTATAATGGAATAGTTCACAATATGTGCATCAGAAAGTTCAAATGACAAAAGTTTCTAGAATCAAAACTGGCGGATATACAGAGGGTTAAACTTTGTTTTTGGTCATTTTATCCATATGCAATTGTCGTTACCTACAACAGTACATGAGAGGGCTATCATATTTTGCATTTGAACCAACCATCCAACTTTAAATTTTGGAAGATACGGGGCTATCAAAAATATATTTTTAATTTCGGAAAAATGTATCCCTTTACACCATTATATTTAGCTGATTTTCTGAAACTATGTAGCTAATATATATACAAATGCGTCAACGTCTGTGCTCATTAATCTGAATCCAAATAAAGTTTCGTTGATGGTCCAAAATTATGGGGAAGGTATGTTTCTGTGAATTTCTTTTATTTTCTGGCATAATGCAGATGAGTTATTCATAATCAAAATGTTTCACAGTGTCTACCTCACGAATACCACGGTTTGAAGTATAGTATTTCATTGATTTCTCGAATAATCAATAATTCCTTTGTAACGGAAAATAATATTGTTTCTTAGACAAACTTCGAGACATTTCAATGACAAAATCATCTAAAATGAGAATTCATGAATATACTTGTGGTATCACGCTCGACATGACCCCAACAATCGCACAACTTGCGCGCATGTTCCTAAAGTCCTAGCACACGTTTTACAAGTACAATAATATCCTAATATGGGCTCATTTGGTTCATCAGATTCTTCATCATATTTGTGGCATTTCTGAACATCGAAAAAACCTTGACTTTCATGGATCCAAGTTCCTCCTCGAGAATATCTTCCCTCTGTAATGTATCCTGTATAAATATATGAAGGTGAAAGTTCAACCTGGTATCTACCTACGGTCAAATCTCTTTGATAACCTATTGTGAGGCGAGGAAACTTTGGAAACAGGTTTCCATTCATAAGGACCCATTGACCATTTCTCAGATGAAGATTGTNAACATTATTTTATTATATATACATTTAAAAATATTGCAGCAAATAAATTCAATAAAAAAAACTTTCAAACTTCAAGGCTCCTTAAATTTTCCTACCACTGATGAACATGATCATAACTGGCAATAGGATATATTTCAAGTATTCAGTAATAAAATTTGAAAATAAATTAAACCTTGTTAAACCGAATATTCACTTAGTATTATAACACAATATTGGGCTGCACTGATTATAATGCAAAATTTAAAAGAATTATATGTACCTTAACTTAACAAGCACAACTATCACCATTGCCGTTAGTTTTCTGTGTATTAGTGAGTTTTATTTGATCTGGAAATTCGTTGTAAATATCAACAGTTGAATTCTGCTGGGCAAGAGCATTCTTCGCTATAGCTAAGAAGGCCTGCTCAACGTTTAGACCTTCTTTTGCAGATGTCTCAAAGTAAGGTATATTATTTTTAGATTGGCACCATTGCTGCGCCCTCTTAGAAGAGATAGCCCTAGGTTCAAGGTCAACTTTATTACCAAGAAGAACGAAAGGGAAATTTTCTGGTTCTCTGGGTGATGCTTGGATTAAAAATTCATCTCTCCAACTATCTAAAGATTTGAATGTGTTTGGTGCTGTTACGTCAAATACTGAAAACAAAAAAAAACATGTAAGAAAAAACAACTCCTCTGAGTTGATGATACCAATATTAATTGAAAGTGCAGGTGTTAAATTGCAGTATCAGTTTTTATGTCAATTAAATCAATGACAATACCAAATGTCCAGATATTTGTTTCGGGTGGGGTAATGAACACATATTTCACCATTCGCTCATCTCAATTAACACTGAGCAACAATTATCGACCAGGTAACAACAAATGATGATTAAAATTGTTATTCAATGACATTTGGATGCAATTAAAATATAAATATATTACTGGTTTTTAATAATGCTCCTTAGGTGACTTTTTGGTTAAGGTTTAGAAAAAAATTGTAATAGCAATGCCAACAACAAGAGATTTCATCGGATTCAAAATAGAGAAATGGATTACCTTTATAGCATANTATTATGGAAGATACGGTGGTGTTTTCATGAGAAGTGAGACACACTGTATGTTCCAGTCAACTCCACTTTTCCTGGTTACGAGAAAAATACAACTTTAATAATTGAATTTTGAATCTGATAGTTAATTAAATGATCAAAAAAGCTAAGTCTAGCCATAAAAATCATAAGAAAAATGAATTGAGTCATTATCGCCTATATTTAATTCACGCTCTCTCCCCAATATTTATTCTAGTAGAGAAAAAAGGGCAATAAACTTTTTGGCCAGAATGACAAATCTATGAAAAATGAGTGCGAAAAAAAACACACCTATGGTCTATTGGTACCGTCGTTTCATAGAAATGAGTAATTCAATAACTTTCACACTTTTCGCATTTTATAAATCCAGAAGTAAATAAACAAATCTGTTCATAAATATATAAAATTTTTATAAAATAAAAAACATGTGTCTGTTAGTTGTTTCATTCAATTTTTGATTTACTGTGAATAATACCAACCTTTCTTCCTTCGTTATTGACCGTTGCTTTCTAATCAGACGCAATTAGGGAAACCGTCATACCACTAGTGTAATGCTAAAAAGCATTATACTTGTGACCATATCATCATTTCGGTAATTGGTTTCTTGACAGTGACAAATTATAATAATGTTTTATGGACTTCCTCTCCAACAACGACAAAGGACAGTCGTGTTACAAGTATAATGCTAAAAGAACCGTGTCGAGTACGACGGACTTCAAAGATGGCACGTGGATGTCGTAGTCCATAAATATATGTGTTCAACAAAATTCTGTAACAATTTGATAACATTGAAAGTGAGATACGAGTTAAAAGGACTGACTGTCTCCCACGCCGGTAACCAGGCAGGATGTCGACGAATTCGATGAGGTTGTCAGTTCCATGTTAAAATGAAACAAAATTGAAAGAAGAAAATATCAATACTGAAAAAAAAATATGGGTGGTATTACTACTTCGAACAAAATAACTTCCCTCAATCGAAGGGTGATTATCTAATCTCGTTTGGCGGAAATAGGAAGAAAGAAAGAGAAGATTTATTGTATTTCATTTACCAGAGAAGGGTCCTTCATGCCTTTCTGCAGAAGCAGGCCGGGTGATAGAGGGGGGAATTTGGGTACATTTGTACCGGGTCCCTTGCATTAGGGGAAAACAAGTACTGTGTTCAATAAACTCAATAATAAATGTTATTACCTAATGTACTCTCACGCTTAGTATACCCATTCAATGTCATTATTAAACATGACCTGAAAGTAAAAGAACGTGATGGAAAACAGGTTCGTGTTTGAAAATTCAAACAACGCCCTAGGTATAAAACATTTGATTAAGAATGTTTTACGGACAAAGTGCAAACAGGTTTTGGAAATCTATTCATTTGAATATGGTATATGGAAAAACAGAATTTAATTTTTAGTTTTTTCTGGTATATCTTTCAAAGTGAGAGCTTTATCTCAGATTTTTTACTATCATTACTAATGTATTTCATAATAAGCAACTTTGCTTTCATTCAACCTGTTTTGCAACTCTTGCCGTTTTCAAATAACCATGCTTTTACTCAAATTTCACTCCCAGCGCAGTATATACATGGACATTATAGTAACGGGCCACCAGATTCTTGTCAGGCCCAAACAGAAGGTAAGAGTTTTACAGTATTGAACGACTGCATCAATTTCAGTCCCACCATCAACGACAATTCGTCAAATTGAGAAGTTACACAGAAATAGTCGAATAGTTATTAGGATCACATATCCTCATCTATCTTGTGGTAGTTTTTCTGTATTCTACAATTCATTTTTTTACTCTATACGAAACTTGAATAGTTTTCAAAGACGGTATAATTTATGAAGTTGAAATTAACGTTAGAATTCATAAACACTAAGTTTTTCTCTGAATGTTTCAATCCGTATTCTGCAATATATTTCACGTTGAGTTGTCAACATGAAGTTACTCTGTTACCTGCCCTATCGGAATTAAAACTCGGTAGTCGGTTCGACGTGGGTCGGTGATTCAAGCCCCAGGCTGAACGATCGATTTTCACTTGCTATCGTCCAACACGTATTATGAATCACACGTTAAAAAGTAAGACCTTGTTAATCCTTAGCTCGCACAAGTTTCGATTTCTGAAGGTTGTCGTTCTTCGGGGTGCGACAACTGGTTATCAGAAAAACAGATTTTTTAAAAAATCTTAATGATATCTCGGTACTATATGTGAATGAAATGATAGCTAGGCAAATACTGGTTAATTTTACTTCCTCTAGAATCTAGGACATTAAAAGAAAATACATTTCAAATAAATATACCGGGTGATCCTCTACACTAGTCTACACAATAGATCTGAGGGCTGATATATTTGAAAACATCCTAGAACATTCTTTTTGAAACCACTTTTATTTCTATTTAAATAAGAGCCATTACTATGATATTATTCAATTTTGATGAAGGAGTACAAATTTGGAAAAAAAAAATTTTTCATTGAACATTTCTGTCATAGTAACAAATTAGGGAAAATCAAAGGAAAAAATACAATAGACCACAGTTCAAATGTCATTAAAATACACTTGACAANATTTCAATCGTTTTATCAAAAAACTCAAACATAATTTTCAAATGTCCATTTCTTGGTTCAACTATCCATCTAGTTTTCGTTACTAATCGAGATTTATTTGATTCCTCACTGGAAAGCTGTTGATGCCTTCGTGGAACAGTCGCGGGCATTTCATATTGAGTGCCAAGATTATTCAGTAAAGGTATGGCATTTGGATAACCCCAATCCACAATAAAAAAGTCACCTTCATTAAACCATCCCCTCATGTCATCAAAGTTTCTTTCAAACTGATTCTCCAATATTCTAACGTCATTGTTGCGAGCGTCTGAGAAATAGGGTCCTTGAATACTCAGTATATGAAATTACAACTTTTATTGATGGCGGCGTATGAATCGTCGGTGTAATCGATGGCCTTCGGGTTGTCCGGTGTCAGGTTATATAAAACATTGGCAAACTCACTCACATGCCTTCTAATATATAATTCCAATCGATGGCTGCAAAGCCGATATTAGATTGACCGAATCTTTGCATCAAAGACTGTCTCACTTTAGAAACTGCCAGGCTGGTGGCTTGCCTAGAGGGATGATGGAATATTACCTTCAAGAAATCATCCGACCCACTCTGACTCAATTTATATAGTGAATAAAGAGTACAGCGAACTCTTTAAAAAATTTAATTGGTTGGCAAATGAACTAAAAGACTGAAATGGTTTTTTAAATTCTATGAAACATCTATGAACATACGAGAAAAAAACTTGAATTGTACGATGTAACCAGCCATAATTCTTTTTGATCTGATTTGCATATGAAAAGGCATTTTCTTCAAATGTGCCTGTTGTCGGTTGATACCTTGAAATATGAATATTTTTAGAACACCAACCTAAAACTGATTAACAACATCAGAGTTAACAATTTTCATTCTTTCTAATGTTTTTAGGACGAAAATGAATTCAAATTCCAAATGCTTACACACTATTTATTATGTAATTAATATCTGTAATTTACAAATTCTCAATGATCTACAAATACACCTTTTCATTTGAAACTGCCAAAAACATAAGGCAAGGTTGATTTTCCTAATGAATCATCATATATTTTATTAGTGAAAAAAATTAGGGAAAGAGTGATAAATCAGTTTATGTGAAATATGTTGTAACTTCTACAGGAAATAATAAAAGGACTGATATGGTTTTTTTTAACTAATGTGATTAAAACCTCCTACTTCCACTGGTTATACAAATGTCATTAAAAAGAAGAAATCACATTTAAGGCAACTATAATATAAATAACATTATTTTATTATATNTTTCAATTGATTTGAAATATTTTTTGAAACATAAACAGTTGAAATGAAGTTAAAGTTAATTTTTATACTGATACCAAAACAACAACATTTCGTGATCGAACCTAATTGTTGTTCAGTAAAGCAGGGATAGTTTGGATCCGGCGAAATGTCAAAAAAGTTATATTTTGATAATGGCATAATGATACCTCTAGATGAAGAATCACACCTACAGAATTAAGTATACAGATCGTAGCAGTTGGAACATAAAAAATTGATTGAAAATGTTATTTTTAGTATTCAGTTGTATGCAAACGTATTGCTACTCCGGTTCTGTTACAGACCTGATGAGTTATGAATGTTCAATCAGAAAACTTATTTAGAGATGGAAATAGGAATACCTAAATTGAGTAGAGTTAATTGAAAAAAAAAATACATACTTATTTATATTCAAACCGTGCCCGAAGACTGTATCAAAAAGAGATACACACGTACTAGAAAATAAATATTTCAAAATGAAATCTCCAAATATTCATCTCTCCCAACTACCTACATCATAGGTTCTGGTAAATTTGTTAATTTAATGTCTCATATACACGTTTTACTTTGATTTGCCTGCCGAAAAACAACTACTTCCCTGGCTAAAACCATGCTGGATATTGAATTATATCCTACAGACATTTATGCAAGATATCTCACAGATATTCAGGTAGATCACCTACTGACCGATTTCGAGGTATCGACTCTCATCAGTACAGGAAAGATCCGACCCAAACAGCATAGTTCCTTGGACTCAATTTCAACTTGGCTCATGCAACGCGGCAACTGCATGTATGAAATCTTCGTCTAAGAGAAAGATTGTGAACAAAGCCCCGAGGAGAAAAGAAACATCCACAAAGCCCCAAGCAAAAAAGAAACATCCCATATACCAATACTCTAACAGAGATCAAACCATGTCTGAAGAATGTATCAAAGAGNAAACCTTCGTCTAAGAGAAAGATTGTGAACAAAGCCCCGAGGAGAAAAGAAACATCCACAAAGCCCCAAGCAAAAAAGAAACATCCCATATACCAATACTCTAACAGAGATCAAACCCCATGTCTGAAGAATGTATAAAAGAGATACATACGTACTAGAAAATAATTTTTTTGAAATAAAATCTTGAAATGACCTACACCGTAGGTCAGTGTTTCTCAAAGTGTGCGTCCTGGGGCGCCGTGGAATCTTTACTGGGGCGCCTTGGGCCACGGGTGAGTCTCAAGGTACAACGTTTTACAACATAGATAACTAAGAGTAAAGGTAATATGTCGGTACCTATTAATAAAAATCCTCTGATAATATAATATCCGTAATTGCAAAATGCAATACGTTCAGACAGCCACCTACCTACTTTTATTAATGAAATATCTAGTGTAGTCTTTACGTTCGGGGCGCCGCGATAACCTTCAAAAAACATAAGGGAGCCGTGAATTCGAAAAGTTTGAGAAACACTGCCGTAGGCTGAGAGAGATGCCTGTTTGAATACAACTACTCCCTGTACTTATGAGAAGTAATACCTCGAAACTGGTCTGTAGGTGGTCTACTGGAATAAGTTCAGCATGGTCCTGCTGCTGGATGAACGAGAAACACCTGCGAGTCTAACCTTTGTGAGGTATCTTGAATAAATTACTGTCTGATATAATTCAATATCCATCGTGGTATTAGCCGAGGAGTAGTTGTTTTCCGGCAGGCATGAGTACAGCCTTTTCAATATGTCAGAATAGATTTTCATTTTTAAGGTTATTACTGTTTAAATTTCTTTGTATGAGCAGTAGGTCAAGTTTTATGAAGGTAGATTTAGATACAGCATCTTGTAAAACATTAGTTGGTAGCCGATCGGTTTGACGCGGGTGCTTTGTTCGCTCACTCAAATTGACCGCCGTGTTGGTAGCTGGTTCAAGCCCCAGGCTGAACGATCGATATTCAATTGCTATCGTCCAACTTGTGTTAGGAATCACACGTTAAAAGGTAAGACCTCGTTAGTCCTTAGCAAGCACAAGTTTTGACTTCTGAGGGTTGTCGTTCGTAGGGTTGCGACAGCTGGTTAACAAAAACAGATTTTAAACAGATTAGTGATTTTTTACACCTAGTGAAGTTTACATCACTAAGTGGTCATCAGTCTGTTGTCAAACGAACATTCGAAGATGCTGAACAGTCTGTTGTTAAACAATTGAACTATTGTTCATTTTCTCTTGACCTTTTTGATTATTGGATTTTCGTATAACACTGAACAGATTTTTGTATATTGTGTGACTATTTGATAATTTGTACGATAGGTTTAGTTCATTAACAAAATGTCTAAAATCTCCATCTTCAACAATACTAAATGGCTGTAGTCCCTTGAATCAATTTTTTTACCACTAATTATTATTTTTTTGCTAAAATTGATAGATTAATAGAAAAGTAGAAAAGATTCATAGAAGAATTATGAATCGATTTTTTATGAACTATATATCCCAGGTTGATCCTAGTTTTTCAGATATGTTATTTCTGATCCACAAAATTCATAGCATCAGAAATCCCTAACCAAGACTGTTTCTTATACAGGGATTTTCATAATGAGCGTTAATTAGCCGTTTCTGGCAAACTATTCAACAAATCAACCTGAAAATTCCACAGTATGCATAAGTCAATATGACCTACACGCCTAAAATATTTTAGACGAAGCGGCGTTGTCGCTTCTACTATAAAGTAGCGGCTTCTTTGATTTTTCAAATGGAACA